TGTAGCAATGTTTGATGTTGAGTGTATGACGTCACAGACTCCAAAAAATAATCGTAAAAATATCATACTTTTGTCCTGAATATCGAGAAAACACTTCATACAGTGATTATTGGACCTTTAAAGAGTATTTTTAGGAAGCTGAATCCAAGTTTGAGCGATTTTCATCGTAGTAGCACTTTAAATATTTTAACGACAATTTTATCTGGGGAAAAGTGTTTCATGTGCTTATAGGACCGAGGAAAAAGAGCTAACTAACCCTATTTATATGTGGTGTTGAGTTCAAGATTTGAAGCCGAGACCCCAACAGTGAGATGCGAGCCAGCCTTGTTTCCGGGGGGAGAAGAATCGCTTATCTTTTGAAATTTTAGCTAATAAGACATTTGCATGATTGCGTCATTGACTTCTACTAACAGACTCCCTTGTGYAATCTCTTTTGTTCAGTTAACGAGCACCAATTGTCATACTATTCTCATAAAGGGATACGAATTTAAATAAGAAAGAATATTCGCGAAGTATTATGGTAGTGGGAGTCAAATGACGCCATCGTGCAAACGTCCTATTTTCTGTCGGAGTCAGTTACAACAAGGTGCGCGCTCGTGTGTGTCTAGCGAAGAAAGACAAACAAGATGCAAGGGTTTATCTCTGTGATGTTATACCTACATGTTTTATATAAAGAAACATGTTTTCTTCCTCCGCAAATCTTTTTCTTGTCTCCTTTGCATTTCTTTCTGCAGTCGCATGTTCGCCCTTTTGCTTTGGTGGGGTAATCGTTACCACATAAGCACCTGTTAAGAGAGGCTTCAAAAATTATTGTTGGTAAAAAGATATGCATTTTCAATCCCCATTTTATTCAGTAGTGAAAGAAGCTGAATATTGCGAAGAATSGTACAAAAAATTGTATGGTTGTTGCACGTTCCAACTCTTTTATGAGYTTCGGATTGAATAAGATATAATGGGGATTGTCTATAGAGTTACAGAAGTCGAAACCACAATATCAACTAGCTAATTCACTCAAT